TGGGGCTGAAACAAGTGCTTCTTGAGTGTATGCACATGGTATTAATTAAAAAAAAAACTTGCTAATAAAAGATTAAAGAATAACACTTAGAAATCGACCAATACAAGAACGAAAGTAAAGGTGAGTACGTACATAGAGTAAGTAAAGGATAAAGGCAAAGGTAAAAATAAACACAAAACCAAAGATTCGTAAAGATAAAGGCGAAAATGAAGACCGAGGTAAAGTTAAACAGATTAAGAAAATGATAAACACAAAAGCAAAAACAAAGATAAATATAAAGAAAAGGATGAGGATAAGGATATCGATAAAAGTAAAGATGAAGATAAAGGAAGAGAGATTAAAATAAAGGTAATTATAGATAAAAGGATATAGATGGATACACAGGGCCCCAATCTGTGAACTATTTGGGTTTTAGGGATTTTCGAGATTCTCGGAACTTATCGATGTAATAATCGATATTTTTATCGCTTTTGTTATAGAAAGTTTTATCGATATTGTTATCGATTTTGCTATCGATATCTTCGGATCCTATCGATATAATAATCCATATATTTATCGATTTTGTTATCTATATTTTTATCGATTTTGTTATCGATTTTGTAATCGATATTTTTAACGATTTTGTTATTGATTGTTTTTATCCATATTGTTATTGGTTTTGTTATCGATATTATTGTAGATTTTATTACCGATCTTTTTATCGAATTTGTTGTCGATATTTTGATCGATTTTATTGTCGATACTGTTATCGATTTTGTTATCGATATTTTTATCGATTTTGTTTTCGATATTTTGATAGATTTTGTAAACGATTTTATTGCCGATTTTTTATCGATATTTGTATCGATTTTGCTACCAATATTATTATCGATTTTGCTATCGCAATTGTTATCCAATTTGTCATCGATTTTGTTATCGATATTTTTATTGATTTTGTTATCGATATTTTGTTGGATGTTACTATCGATTTTGTTATCGATATAGTATAAAGATAAAAATAAAGATAAAGGAAAACAGAATAACATACAAAAATGTAATTAGAAGAATCAGGTGTTGACGTAGGGGTCTAGATAAAAAAAGACAAAAAAATAACCTTGAGCAAAAGCAGTTGTATGTATGTATGTATGTATATTGGTTATGAGAAAAAATAGATATGTAACGTAAGTTTCACTTCTCCAGTGTAGCCCTTTTTTTTCAAACAGAAATGTGTTGTAATTAACATTACGCCAACCAATCTGGGTATTAGGCTAAACCCGAGACTTGCAAGTGCGCACCGAAAAACAGCAAAGGCCTACAGCTGTCTAAAGAAAGTATGCTTAACAATTGAAAAAGCTATAAGAATCTCTACGAATAACTATATTTCAGATAATACAGATTTCGAATGGATATGGCACTCTGTAGTTATGCGTATAATGATTCTATGGTGAATCAACTCCCAAGTCCCCAAAAAAAACGAAGATTCCCATATAGTCCGGAGAATGCCAAAATCCCTAAAAACCTCGAAGTAGGCTTGGACTATTTTGCAAGGAAGAAGAATTTAAAGATTTGTAAATTTCCGAACTACAGTGTGGACAATGGCATCACACAGCACATAACCTCTTTTGCTCAGCTTGCAGCTTCAAAATTTGTGCCTGACTTTGCTTCACAAGTTGTTGCAGTGATTCCAATTGGGTGCTGAAGTGTTTAATAATGTCTATTTCTAGATCACAGTTGCAGTCGCAAGTATCTTCCAGTTCATTGTTTTGACTTGAACAAGATTTTATTCCGAATATTAAAATGAAGTTCAGTAGTACTTGTATACGCGCTTTGAGATGCATATTTTCAACGGACTGTAAATTTCTAGCGACTCGCACAACCGAGTGGACCAAGCAATACTACTTAATGGAGGCATTGCTTTTTTCTATTTATAGCCGTGCGTACTTGCACTTCTGTCCTTTGGGTTTTTCAAACACTACAGTGGGGGGGTGTGTATTGGCACACTACATTTCCGGCGCTTTCGCATCTAAACTGTATTTATTCATATATATAAATATATTAAATATTTTTTTTTGTTTTGTATAATTCCAGGATCACTTAAAAAAAATAAAAAATGGGAGAATTGCCACCTGTTTGAAATTTTCAATTAACTTCAACAATTTTTAATGAAAATAACAAAAAACAAATTTTCAAATAACTAAATAAAATAAATTGAATATTAAAATACGGGCATCAAGCCAAAGAAATTTAACAACGCTTACAGAGCATAATTTTGAGGAGGATTGCCACCTGTTTGAAAATTGTAAACTCAATTAAATTGGTAAAATAAATTAAATATTACAATGTGGGTATTATATTAAAGAGGTTCGGGAAAGATTACTTTTGGAAATAATTTTGGAAGGGTTGCCATCTATTTACAAATTTTAACTCAGTGAAATTGATAGAGTATATGAACTATTGTAATCCCAGTTTTAAACTAAAGAATTTTATGAAAGCTTATATTCGAAAATAGTTCCGAGAAGGGTTGCCACCTGTTTGAAAATTTAAGACTCAATTAAGTTGATAAAATAAAGTAAATATTACAATATGGGTATTAAATTAAAAAGGTTTAAGAAAGATTACAATTGGAAGTATTTTCCGCGGGCTGCCCCCTATTTTAACGCAGTGAAGTTGATAAAATAAATTAAATATTGCAATATGGGTGCCAAACTAAGGCTTACTGTCGAAAATATGTTTGGAAATTTAACTCAATTAAATTAATAAAATAAATTAAATATTATAATGTGGGTACCAAATGAAAGGTATTTAAGAAATCTTCATTTGGAAATAGTCCCTATAGGATTATCACCTACGTACGTATGTAAAAGTAAAGACTGAAAATATTGACATTAAATGAAATTGGTGCCAAACGAAAAGTGTTTGGGCCAGCTTTGCTAGACAATTTTTTTTTGTAAATGTTTCCACCTAGCCAAAAGCTTAACACTTTAAATGAAGAAAGAATTTACAATATCTTATCAAACGTAGCGATCATGTTATCAACGAACAGTTGACATACAAATTACACAATGAAATGCATAAATAAAAAAAAATACTCACACAAATATTAAAAAAAAAAACAAAAAGCGTAATGAAAACATTTAAATATCATAGACAAAATCCACAATGAAACCATAAAATTGTTGACACAATTCCCTAACATTATTGAGAATCGATATTCAGAAATTAAAAAGTAGTATTTAATTTTACTCCATTGCCGTATTAAATTACCTGACGAAAGCGTTATACCGTTATAAGAAGTCCTCGATGGTGAATCGTCCTTGAACCTGTATAGAGTAGTTGGTTGCAATTTCCAAACTGGTGAGTATCATTGGTCCACTTTCTGTTGAGTCACCGTAAAGCAAGGACCGCAATGGTTCGGAACGTTGATTCAATTTGACTTTGATCCCTGGTGCCTCCGAATTGACTATTTTTGGCAATAACTCAGCTCCAGCGCCACCTTGCGCATCTTTTTTTGCCCCTATCATTACTAATGCATATACATCTCGAATATGAGTAAAATCGGAACACAAATACGATTTTGAATAATAACTCGACTCCAGCGCCACCTGGCGTTATAAGTTGTGAACTTAAACTGTACAGGGACCTACTCAAACACATAAAAAATGTCATTAAAATAGTTCGGTCGGTTAGAGGGAGTTAACCCACCAGCATATGTCTTTTACATGCTCACACTCTTCGGAATTGTTTCCCATGCGGAGAAAATGCGCAACATCATCAACGAAAAAGTTCTCAAAAATCAGCGGTAAATTATAGTAATTTAAAACTTGCACTTTATGATACTGAAATTGAGTGAGCTACAAAACTGCATACTCAAAATTAGGTGCCATTTGATGCAAAATAAACTATATTTCTATAAAAAAATAACAAAAAAATTTATTATGAAAAAAAACACTGTATTCTGGGTGTATATATTTACAGATAGGTAAAGGTTTCAATATGTTTGGAAAGCGCCACGCCCCCTTTTCCAGTAGCCGCCCAAAAATCTCTATACCAATTTCCAGGACACTACCACAAATACTTCCAGAGATATACGCTATGAAAAATTCGATATGTATGGATGATGCCACGCTCCCTTAATATACCGAAAGTCTGCAGTAGGTGACCAAAATTTCTAAAAAATCGGTGGAGCCGTTCTCGAGATCACCGCTTTTAAAAAGAAGGAGGTTCTCTTTATATAATTAGTGTAGGTAACACAGGGCAATACCGATTTTGATGCGGCAAATGTTAAAGCTTTTTTTTAGACCTTTTTGTGCTGATTACGAATCCACAAGTATAAAGTTTCCATCAGCTCCTGATTTTAAGAAACATGTGGTGAAAGTGCCCAAAAATCGCGTTATTTGCAATATTTGAGAAGCTCTAGCAATGAAACAAAAAGTGATAGAACCTTTCACTTTGTGCACTCCTCCTTCTAGACACCTTTCCAAAAAAGCAGCAAAATTTCGAATCGGTTATGAAACACAAGAGAAATTTGTTCCAAAACTTTCCCAGCTTCACAACGAATTTTCCACCTTTAGATCGTCTAAAATCATCCTATCATGCGATAAAATACAAAATTTCGTCGAAAAAAACAATTCTTCCGGATTCTTCCGGATTTTTCTGAATTTTCCACTTGGAATTTTATATTTCTCCATTCGAAAGCCATTCAGAAGGAATTGCACAAAAAATTCCATACAAAAAAATAAATTTTCAAATTTTCCAATTTCCCCACTTTCCGGAGGGTCCCATTCTCAATTTATGAATTACTATACATTTTTCACACCACTTTTATGTATATAGATAATGAACGTAAAACTCTAGGTCCCTCCCCTTTTGAGTAACAACATTAAGGCGCACGCCACAAATCAGAGGAGAAACTCTGCCAAATACTAGTATATTACGTAAGCGTCAATCTATAACTAATCGAGAAAACTTCATTTTCGTCCATAATTTTTATTACAAAAGGTCCCAATTTGCTTATGTATCTATGTATGTAAGTGCAAATTTATTCAAAAAAACTTAATAAAGTCGGTTTATTTCTATGTTTATGTTGTTCTTCTTAAGGTGAGAAATGTTTCATCGACAGCCGCACCATACATCTCTCTGTTGGGCGTATCATCATTTGCGCAAACTTTAGTGACTCATACCTATGTATGCCAATCCACGTTATAGCATCGCCGTTTTTCTGTTTTTGATAATAGTTTCCATTCAAGTTGCTATAAAAAAAAGTTTGAAATACGCATGAAAATATTTATAAATGTTTTCGTAAATTTGCAACATATACTTGAATTCACCTCTGGTAACACTGTTTGTACCACCAAGCTCCTCTAAAATTTTCCGCGCAATTACCAGCATTATCGCGATCGAATGTTGAGAACTTACTGCCTTCATGATACCTTAAACAGTCTCGAGCATTTCCTGTGTAATTACCAAGGGTTCGCAAAACATAATCTTCCTCTTCGCTACCAATGACGAATAAATCATATTTTGCATAGTACTTTGTGCCATTGGATGCTTCCATTTTTATATACAACTCTTGCTCACAGCTCGCGGTTAGATCGTGCAATTTATCCAAACCAATCCAATAATTGCCCGACAATTCCCCAAATCCTTGCTTATATTGTTGCCAATCTCGATAGAAATCCACTTCCGCACTTAGGCGTCGCTGGATGACAATCCAACCGCCAAAGTCCGTATCCTCATCACACCATACCATAAATGGCTCATCCCCAAATAGCTGAGATTTAATGGTATATATGCCACTTTTACGTGAACCAGCGGCTGCCTCCATGCAATTGGTGGGTCGGCTTGGACTATTTTGCAAGGAAGAAGAATTTTAAAATTTGTAAATTTCGGAACTACAGTGTGGACAACGGCATCACACAGCACATAACCTCTTTTGCTCAGCTTGCAGCTTCAAAATTTGTGCCTGACTTTGATTCACAAGTTGTTGCAGTGATTCCAATTGGGCGCTGAAGTGTTTAATAATGTCTATTTCGAGATCACAGTTGCAGTCGAAAGTATCTTCCAGTTCACTGTTTTGACTCGAACAAGATTTTATTCCGAATATTAATATGAAGTTCAGTAGTACTTGTATACGCGCTTTGAGATGCATATTTTCAACGGACTGTAAATTTCTAGCGACTCGCACAACCGAGTGGACCAAGCAATACTATATGACTGAAGCAGATTAAAATATATCACTTAATCTGATTATTTAATTTTAGAACTAATCGGATAGCCCCGGTAGCTTGTGCTTAAATGTTTTTCTATAATTTTAATTACAACAACAAATAATAATAATAATACTTAATGATTTACATACAGCGGGATTCTAATGAATCTTTGCTTAATTTGCCGATAATGATGCGCTTGCATTTTACATAGCTATGTACATTCTTATATATAGTACTTAGAAGCCACTATATATGAGTTCAACTAAATATGCGATAAGCATAAAAATATTTCATTGCCTTAATGGAGGCATTGCTTTTTTCTATTTATAGCCGTGCGTACTTGCGCTCCTGCCCTTTGGGTTTTTCAAACACTGCACTGGGGGGTGGGTATTGACCCACTACGATTCCGGCGCTTTCGCATCTAAACTGTATTTAATCTTATATATGCATATAGCTGAAGAAATTTACGTTGGCTAAGGTCGTATGGTTGCCCAGAACGCAACTTAAAAACCCATTGTTATACCACAAATATTTAAAAACAATTGGGTTGTTCACACTTGCCCAATTATTGAATCTCCGCGGCACGATAATACGCAAAATACTAGAGTAAACGGTCGAATTTAATTTCGTTGCCACACATTTGAGCAGCACTTTATGACAGCCAGCTTTGCCCCAAAAAAGCACTACAATAGCCTAGAACCCAAGATTTTTAGTGTCAATGAAGATTCCCTGACAGATGGTCCTTTCACAACCTACTGAGTATAGTAAATATACGGTTGCCAGTCGTACTGATTTAGGAAGGACAGTACTAAATCTTCACTAACTGTACTGAAAATTTTCAATTACTAATTCAGCACGCAAATATCCTTATTTTTTTGGAAATTTGTGCTGATTTGTACTGACTTTTCTATCTCTATTCCGCTTCGTTCACATCAGTGCCGGATAGAGAATTTGGGTGCGGTAGCGGCGATTGGGATCAACTTGTCAAATAAGGTTAAATAAAGAAGACGCTTAACAAATTTCACCGATGAGTGACCCCTCAAAGTTCAATCCATACGACCTACAAGAATTCAACTGGTAATATAAAAATAATATAACACTGGGGAACAAAGTGAAATTTTAGAAAAACTTAGAGTGTGCATACTCAGTTTTACTAGATCAAAAAAAATAATAATTTTTTTCTCCAAATTTTGAAAACTTATCGTTTTTCGGCCCATACTTGCTTTGTATGACGTTATACTGAGATTTTTGGATCCTGAAAATTGGTTTTCTCTAGAACACGAATTGATCTAATAAATCTGAGTTTGAGGTTCGTACCCTACAAGAATTGTGTGATGGAAACTAACACATTCTCATTTACCTTACTAACACATTTACAAATTTTGCGTTGTTTAAAAAGAGACAACTAAATAATGCCATAAGTCTGAGAAAGACGGAAGATCACATGTACCCAAATGTTTACATCCGATTTTTCACACTGCCCTTTAGAATTTGATAGAAACTTGTAGGTAGCCAGTGACAGAAATCTCTATCAGTCTTGCCACTCAAATGATTTGTCAAATGATAGTCACTGTTCTTGCAGGGTATGGCCAACAGCTATTGAACCTGATTACATATAAGCACTCTAGGTTTTTTTGTAATGAATGTAGGTATATTATTAATACATATTTCTTACTTACAACGTTTTTCGATTTAAGGATGGAATTCATTTAACAAGTTATTCAGAACTTCCATTATAATTATTTAAGTTGCAAACTCAATTTTGCGCTTTCCTATTTTCGCAAATCGTTCTATTATCATTTCAGTGTCAATTTCAATAGCTTAAGTGTATGTGTAAAACTGCTACACCTGTCAGCCTAGTACTACACAGCCATTGTTTTAGCCGGCCAAGTGTTGAGGAACTTCTTTCTAAAGTAGCGTTACTAGGAGTAGCTTCAATTGTGGCCCGACTGCAGGTTATCTGATCCGAGTATTTGCAATTGAAATTGATGCAAATATTGATTTTTCGACTTTCCGGCTTTTCCTTTTGAAGTTTTAGAAATTTAATTTTTCCTAAACCATTCAAGTATTGCGACAACAAAAAAAAACAGAGAACAAAAATCATGGAATTCGGTCAAGGCGTTCGCGATTTTTTAAAAACTGAGCCTTTCATAGCACAACATAAAACCAATGGTTAGAAAGTTGGAGCTGAAAAAAACGAGACCAACGAAATCTGGAACATAAACTGTTGTCATTCACACTCATCTCCAGTTGCCGCCACAAATCAAGAAAAATGGATACACAAACACACATACATATGTACATATATATTGTCAGTATCTTACAAATGAATGCAACAAATTAGTTGCATGGCAACAGCAATTGCCACCTTTCAAGGTCAAGCCACAGCTATCGTCAGTCAACCAGACAAACATGCGCCAAGTGTCAGTTGCCGACAGTCAAATGTCAAAAAGCGTGTGTGCGATGAGCAATTAGAGAGTATATATATATGTTATTCCTTAGAGGAGTTATGCATTTGGTTTTTGCATGTAAGTATGCCAGTGTGTGTACGTGCATTTGTCAGTCTAAATGAAAATGTTATTATTTTTGATTTGTTTATTCGCACTCTCGCACAATTTTTCCTGGACTGGTTGACATACAGACGTGAACTAGCCATGCTGGCCTCTCTGCCGCTGTTACCATAAAACTAGCGAAATGAGGAAACACTTGGCGAATTATTGCATTGACGCAATAAAAATTTCACTTGGAAGATAATATAAAAGCAAAACAAAAGGCGGTTGAGAAATATGAAAACCCACAAAATGGTTGACCATTTAAATAATTGACTTGAATGTTAAAAGAGAAAAACCAAAACATAATTATATTTGCTTGCTATATTTTATTTAATATTTATACATTTTGTTTTTATTCGAGCTCATTATGGAGTGAAGGTAACTCAACGACAGCAACAACGACGTCAGCAATGAAGTACAAATTGCCGTTTTACTTTCTACTAAATAACAGCAAAACATAAATGCATCCAGTGACGTGTTGTCTGCCAACCAATGCACGTAAGCAGGCATATGTACATTAGAGTGGTCCAAAAATATTAAAGTCGGAATTTTAATGCCGCCACCCGCTACGATTGTTCTATACCGCAAAAAATATACCCTTATTTTTTTTATTTTGAAATCAAAAAATATTTCGGTAGTACTCAAAGCGCTCAAAGTTTTTCTTGTATTTTTATATGGAGAAAAACATATTCGTAGAAATGGTATAAAATTCTTCAAAATCAATATTTTTCAATCGGAAAACCGTGGTTATCTTCAAAAGACTTCCAATATTAATATCCAATTGTTTATTTAACCATGTTTAAATACTAAAGGTTTTTTATTATTAAAGAAACAGTTGGGTATTATTTTTGGGAAGCTCCAGAAGTGAAACAAAGAGTTTTCCGATCGAAAAATATTAATTTTCAAAAATCTACACCATTTCTACGAAAGGTTATTTTTTCCCCCATACAAAATACATGGAAAACTTTGAGCGCTTGGAGCACTCCCTAAATTTTTTTTTATAATCCTAGGGGCGGCGGCATTACAATTCCGACTTTACTTTTTCCCATGCATTTTTGGACCACTTTAATGTAAATACATGCATATGTGTTTATATGTGATGTACTATATGTATTTACGTAGGTTTATTTGGTGCTTTGTTTGGCGCTTAATATGGGCAAAATCACTGCATTGACATTGAAATTGACATTTTCACTAATTACGCGCATGTACACGCATACATTCAATTCAAACAAAATGCCTGCTCACATGAATACATACATACAGATGTACGTATATGTGTGTATTTGTATACACTGCCGGCAAAAAGTATTGGCACAGCAAATTCTTCACAATAAGTATACGCAACAATTTTTTTTCCAGTATGTTTTCACCAATTTTTTATAAAAACATGGTTCATTCTACAACAAAAAACATAAAAATATAATTCCTAATCTTTGTGCAAACTTTGTGCAAAACTCGCGAAAATTCAGCAAATTTTCAACTTTTTAATCGGATTTTTTAGAATTTCTTTGAGAATTCATTTTTTTTGCAGCCCTTGAAATTCTAGTAAACAAAATCCAAGTTCGGAGTTAGTCAAAAATCGCATTGATTTTTGGGATTTTTTTTTGTTGAAGGTGTTTTGCATTTTTTCCATATAAAGTATTTTCGAAAAAAAATTGTGTATGGAAGAGACTGCGTGAAAAAAAAATTCCAAAAATCAACGGTAATTTCTAGCTGCTTAAAACTTGTACTTTAAACAAAATTGATTGGGCTACAAATCTGTATACTCGAAGAAATTCCAAAAAAATCAGATTAATAAGATGAACATTTGCATGAAAATTTGTTGAATTTTCGTGAGTTTTGCACAAAGTTTAGGAATTATATTTTTATGTTTTTTGTTGAAGAATGAGCCATATTTTTATACAAAATTTTCGGAAAAACATTAGAAAAAAAATTTTATATATTGTTACAAATTTGTTGTACCAATACTTTTTGACGGCAGTGTATAGGTCTTTACGAATTTCAGTTGTTGTTAAATTTTTTTTATGCCACTCTTTGTCGCATGCCGCCGCTTGAGCTGCCACGACAGCTGGGCAACAAACAGGCAATAATCAGTCAGCAGCGTCTAGTGACCAATGACCAGCGCGACACTTGAGAATTTCGAATTTGATCACACAAGACAGCGCTGGATGATAAAAGGAAGCAAATTGCCGTTTGATTTGTTGAGCAATTGGCAAATGAAAATCATTAACGCGCGCATTAATCCCACATGATTTCTACTACCTTCAGCTATATGTATGTATATGTTATACATACACGTATTAGGGTGCATCACTCTGCATACAAAAAAAATAGGTACAGTATTAAGATTTACTTGAGCTGGACCTACTGATTTGAAAATACATACAAGAATCAAGTCTTTTATAAATAAT